CCTAAAACCCCTAAACCCCTAGACCCTAAACCCTAGACCCGCGAGATCTGAAATGCCGGCCTTCTAGAAGGGACCCCTAATCCTACTACCCTATATAACTCTTATATACGCCTCACATAGTCTCATAAAGCATATATATATATATATATATGTATATATATAATGATATATATATATATATAGCCCTAAGGGTGCCTTTCCGGGTCGCTGCTTTAGTCCCTTGACTAGGTTTCCCAGTGGCCGCTTAAAACTAAGGATGCCCTTGTTCCTACTATTTGGCTTAGATAAGGGAACCACAGACAGAAAAAGGGCAAAAGGGTCCTACTGGGAAGCCGGGACCCCTAAACTCTAAACCCCTAGACCCTAGACCCTAAACCTTAAACCTCCGAAGAAATCCGAAAATGCCGGCCTGTTCCTGTCGCTTTCGCTCGAACTCCTCCTCCGCTCGTCGGCGCTCAAACTCCGCTTGTGCAGCCTGCTCAGCAGCACGCCGCTGTTCCTGCGACTTGTAGGGTTTAGGGTTTAGGGTTGAGGGTCTATCTGCTGTTTCGGATTTCGGGGTTTTGGGTGACGTGGTGTTTCGGAATATATGGCTACCCTCTTTCGGGCTCTTATCACCTCTCGTTTCTGCAACTCCCACTTCAACTTCCGACGTGGAGCCTTCTTAGGTTTTATAGGGTTGAGGTTTTTTCTCCTTTTGGACACGCCAAAGTAGCTGGCATTCATAGACTTGAGACCAACAAGTAGCTGCCATTTGCATAATTGGAACCTAAGGTACCAACAGGCCCTAGGTATGCTCAGTATCCTACTATCTGGCTATCTGCAGCCCTATGCTCAAAGCGTTGGCGAACTACATGCTGCCAAGTCTGTATACCCTCCTAAACCCCTGAAGCTCCACATGGGCCTGCTCGAATGGGCCCTTCCGTGTGACAGCCTTGGCCAGTAATTTCCCAAAGCGTCCTAGGTACTGTTCTGGGGGATACTTTCCCAATCCATGAAAAGGATTCCCTACTATAGAAATGCTACATATTACTATATAGGTACTTTGGACCCTTTGGGTTTATGTCTAGGCCAGGCCCGCATGCAATACAAAATCTACGACATTGCATTCAAGCTAATCTAGGTGCCTTAATGATAAGAATATGGTTTGGGGTATATTATACTATAATAATTACAATAAGGGACCCCCAAACTAGTAAAGGTACTTAATATTAAGGCCCCAATATTTATCATGTCATGTCTTAGTGTTGGCTCTTTCTTGGGCTCCTCTATTAAACACACTCTTCAATCCGACAGTCTATTGCCCGTCCTCCTTGCGGCGGCTGGCTTCCGCAGTCTCGTTGAAGGCAGAATCGAAGTCTACAGAGGCGTCGTCTTCGTCCACATCGATGCGATCCGACGGGCTCCGGCCACTTCCGACGGGATCTCGGCGTCCATGCCCAGGTGGGCCGATGCTGCTCAAGTTCAGGGGAGAGGACCTCATGCTCACTGCCAGCTTCCTGACTGCTGCTCCTCTATCCGTCTAGCGCTATGGACCCCTCCCGCTCTCCTTCCCTGCATCTCTCTGTCTCTCACTCCGCTGCCTCTCTCTCTGACTCTGTCTCTCTATCTCGCTCTGGTTGCGTCGCTCTTCTTGTCGCATCCTTCACTCTTGCTACTCACTATTTCATTATTATCTGGCTTGCTCCTCCCTGGTTCTTTCCATCTCTCCATGTAAAATTAGTTCACTCTCTGCGTCTCGACCGCTCACTCATTCTCTGCCCCCCAAACTCTTGAACCCTAAACGCGACACACAAACACCCTGGACACCCAACCACCCTCTATGTGACCCCTCTGAATCTGAACCATCGGACCTAAACCTTGCCCATTGAAACCCCCTAAGCATTATTCAAACGCATAAACTCTAGCTCTCCAAAGTCGCGAGCCCTGAGCCCTAGGCCCTGGTTGGGGGTTTAGGGTTTAGGGTTGTTTGGGGTTTAGGGTTTAGGGTCTAGGGGTTTAGAGTTTAGGGACCCTAAATCTAAACTGACGAGCGGCTCTGACTGCCCACCGGTACCTCGCGACTCGCCCCTGCGCTGCAGTGGTGCAGTGAGGCCCAGACTGCCTGCCAGACGGCCCTCCATGCTCAGCACCTCGTTAAGGGTTTAGGGTTTGGGTTTATAGAGGTACAGGATCCCTAAACCCTATAAACCCTAAACCCTATAAACCCTAAACCCTAAACCCTAAAAGGTGTTAGGGCTTCAGGGCGTGTCAGGTTTGTAATGCCTTGTATGGATATTTGACGGATATTCAAAAAATTGTTGAAACGCGTCTTCTCTCATGTTTTAACACAGGGGGATTGACTTCAGAAGGAAGCTTATTAACCCTGCCTGTGACCCCAAACCCTCCAAAATAGTAGGTTACGACCCCTTTAATTGAAGGGTAGAACCCTTAAAACGGTTTGTTTTGGGATCCCCAGGTAAACCCTAAACCCTAAACCCTAAACCCTTAACCCTAAACGCTAAACCCTAAAATAAGCCCTATTTTGAGAAGGCCCCTACCTGGCGCTCGACGCTGGTGAGATTGTCAGCGAGCTGTCTCTGTGCATCTTCCAAGTTGTTCACGCGAGCGCTCAGCTGCCGTGCATGGCCCACCTGTAACCCCAACCCCGACAGACCCGACAGAATAAGAACAGCAGGTAATGACCCTTTCATGAAAGGTTGAAAATCCACAAAACTGTAGGTTTTTGAATCCCCAGGCACAGCAAGGGCGGCCAACGGCGCTGGGACCACAGCAGAGCTCTCAGCGACTAGACCAGGGAGTAGGCGCCGCAAGGCACTGCTTGGATCCGTCAGCTGACGCCGAAGAGCCGTCTCCGCCGCGGGTGTGTCCGTGGATGCAAGCCAGCACACAGTTCCCCGGCCCTGTGCACCTGAGGGTTTCCGAAAATAGGGGACCCTAATATAGTACCCTAAATAATAGGATCCCTATTATAAGGACCCCAAAACAAGGTACCCCTAATTTTCGGAAACTCCCACCTAGTGCACCTCGGCCCTCATGAAGAGTGTCCACACGAACCAAATTTACAGGGACCTCCCTTAGTGCACTTCGGATGTTCTCGGAGCTCGCAGACTCGGAGTGTTCATCCACCCAGTTCAAGGTGAGCATCATGGTGGAGTTCCTGAGGGGGGACATCTTGAGGAGCATTAGAATGGATCTTTTAGGGATAAATACATGAGACATCTATAAGGGATCTATAAGGTTTGGGGCATTAGCGATCATGGGGTTTAGTGTGTCTACATGTCTAAATACAAACAAGTTATGTGACTATGTAGCCATCTGTGTCACTGCTCAAAACAGTAGACCAATGCATGACAAACATAAAGAGGGTGCAGGGGTGCAAACCGATAGGCTAATCTGTACTCATATGTACCCTCACAAATTACAAACAAAACTTACATATTATGCTGATCTCATGTAATGTTGTGAGAGCACAGCATGCTGCAAGCCCGTCTGGCATTCCATGTCGAACCCAACCATCTCTGAATAAGTACGACATAGACATACATGCCCAGCTACACACATACGTGTATACACTTGTATATATATATATATATATATAGATACATATATATATATATATATGTGTGTGTACTGTTACATGTGTCGCGTGCATGTGTATTTAGCTGCATACTTCCATATGTAGAGTAAAGCACACTGGTACATGCTTTGTATACAAACGCAAACATACCTATATGGGCATAGATGCTTACAAGCATACCATCGCATGGCCTAAGAGCCTACCGAGCCGTAGCCATCCATGCAGCAAGCCTCGAACACAGTTCAAATCTCACCAATGGTCTATGCCTGTCTTCGGGAAGCATTTCGAACGACTTGCAACTACGGTCAAAGTAAAGCTCACAAAACTCTAGACTCTAGGCTATAAAGCCGTTGAACTAGACGAGCAAAACATTATTGTTTCACAGCCACTAACCATGTAAGAGTGCTGTTGTTTGTTGTGGGCGCTTTTTGGCTGCAGGCGTGAAGCACATGTTTGTGTTTTCCCTTTCCAGCGCGGGTACGGGGGTGCTCTTTGTGGCGGCTGAAGCGGTGCACTCTTGTTTGTCACGGGTGCCGGGACACTTTGTTTTGGTTGCTTTGCGTGCGGGGTGTCTTGTTGTAGACTTTTCACCCCAAAACCCCAAACCCTAAACCCCAAACCCGAAACCATAATTCGAAACTTGGAAGCCCTGAAGTCTACAGCCAGATACTGTCAAGCAGGCCCTAGAACCCGAAAAGCACAGAACATACATGTACTAGGCTACCCCACTTCATGAAAGGATGGCCTTCTTTCCTACTCAGTTTGAAGCACCGTCCCCGCCGCCCCTGTCCCCATAGATTAACAGGTATGTGCGTACCTACTAATATTAACAGCAATACGGAATAGATTTACCGACAAGGAAGAACACGGTGTAATGCACATCAACACTTGAGTCAGTCAAATTTTGGTTCGACACCGAACAAAACAACATGAGCAAATTAGTAGATCTCTAAATATAGAAATCGCGCACAGTACCCTACAATAACCATATCTCTCTCCATGTACCAACACTCCTATATAGGTATGGTCACACATGTGTATTATTACCATATACTTATGTATGCACACACATACACGTGTGTTTATGACTGTACGTGTGTCTATAGAATACACACATATATGTGCACATACTTACACATGTGCTGAATACTTTGCCTTTGTTCCGGGATGTCGGGGATAGTATAGGGGCCTTAATAGTTAGAATAGGGTTTTCCGGGTCCTTTATTATAATTATAGTATACTACTCCCACAAAAAACTCTAAACTATTAAACCCTAAACACTAAAACCCTAAACGCTGCAAAGCCTCGGAGGCGCCGTGGACGCCGGAAGACTGCTCAACTCGAGGCCGCTGCTCTCGACACTCTGAGTGGTCGGGAGCTGGTCGAAGAGGTCCTGGGGTTTATACGGCTCCTGTAAGGATTCCTTTGAGGGTTTAGGGTTTTGGGTTTAGGGTTTTCGGGCTCCTTTAATTAAGCCTAAGCGTTCATGTACCCCCAACAAAAATGCCTGCTTCGGCTCCAAAGTACCTAAATAGAGACTACTTTAGCGGAACATGGGCTCTAATTTAGGGGTCGAAGAGGTCCTGGTCTCAAAAGTTCAAGATTTGACGTTTTAGGCTTTTGGATTTGCGCAAGTTGCGGTCAAGATGTCAAAGTTTTGGATTGTACAAAGAGTCTACATACCGAGGTCGAGACACCCGTTGCTGTCCACATATCTACCGCAACCACTCTGGGGTTTAGGTTTTGATTATTGGAGCCCTGAGCTCGGCAAGAGTAGATCGTGAAGGGGTTTTGGTCTTCTGCTTGAACCCTAAACCCTAAACCCCTAAACCCTCAACCCTAAACCCTACATCCATGTTGTGCTTCTGGCTATGGGTTTTGGTGGTGGAAAAGAAAATGCTGTCAACAGCAGAACTACTTCGGACGCTGTGAGGAATGTGTTTTTGGTCGTGATGATACGAATCGTGGTGATGGCCTCAATGGTGGAGATGATGAATCTGTCGGCCAAATGATGACGAAGTTGGTGTATTGGTAAATGGTGCTGCTGGCGACGACCGTGATGATGCCGGGAGCGATGGTGGTCATAACCAGTTCTCGTATGTAGACTCGATGTAGACTTTGAGCATTGGCCCCAATCTGTGAGGCTTTGTAGTTGATTGCTACTTTCCTTTATGACGGTACGACTGCTGGTACTGCTGTCTCGTGATACTACAGTTTTCTGATCTTGTACATATGTAGCATAGACGGTGTCCCTACACTCAAACCCCATAAACCCTAAACCGTGTAAGGACGGGTAAAGCCGTAGTGGCAGGCACCCCAGGGTAGGACTTTTGCTCACAGCTACATACATTGCTTACATACACTCTGAACTAACAAAAAATAATTAACCCTAAGGGTCCATGTACACAAATAGTACATACATTGGCCCTAAAGTACCTATATAGGGACTACATTAAGGCCAAAGTAAAAACTATTTGGGTACATGATAGCTTCAGGAGGATCCAGGTTGTTGAAGAAGCGTGACATGCGGGACCGACACTTTCAGACCTCCCGCCTTACGCACCTAAAAAGCTCTCAACCACAAATCCCTGAACCCCTACCTTAACCCCTACTAACCTACCTTTTTTAGGACTGATATAAAGGCATCATAATAAAGGTAGGTTCTTCAGGGTCCAGGTGGCAATCTCTAGACCCCTTATAAAGCCCTCAACTCCCAAAGGCTCCATGTACCCTTATAGTAGCTACTTAAGCCTGAAAGGGGCCCCTATATAGGTACTTTAAGGCTTAAGTATCTACTATAAAGGTACATGGAGCCTTTGGGACTCAATAATCCAGGGTCTTCCAATCTGCTGAGGCGTGCATCGAAGCGCTCCCTGCTAGGACCTGGGACTGCGCCCTAAACCCTAAACCCTAAACCCTAAACCCTAAACCCTAAACCCCGGGAAGGTTGGCAGGCTCAGGGGTCACGAACTTACGGCTTAGGCCCTAAACCCTAAACCCTAAACCCCTAAACCCTAAATCCTAAACCCTAAAGGTTTATAGGGTCTAGGGCTTCTGGGGTTTAGGGTGCTTTTGTTAAATTTGGGGTTTGGGGTTTAGGGTTCCGGGCTTAGGGGACTCCCCCTTCCAACCAGTATAAGGTAGCCTTTGTGACACTAGCCTTTTGCATCAGAAACCAAAAACACCGGCATGCTGACTGGTCTTGAAAGTAGGATCAGAAACCCGGAACCCTAAACCCTAAACCCTGAACGCTAAGCCCCAAACCCCAAACCCCTAAACCCTAAACCCTAAACCCTGAACCCGGAACCCTACACCCGAAACCCGGAACCCTGAACCCCTAAACCCTAAACCCTGAACCCTACACCCTGAACCTTGACCCTAAACCCGGAACCCTAAACCCGGAACCCTAAGCCATGTTTGCCATCCTGAGCCCGTCAGGCCAACAGATATCAAATACAAAAGCCTCCTCCTTAGTCACTTAGGGTTTAGGGTTTAGGGTTTAGGGTTCAGGGTTTAGGGGTAAGGGTTTAGGGTTTGGGGTTTAGGGTTTAGGGTTTAGGGTTTAGGGGTAAGAGCAATCGGTGTCGTCGTCATACGGTTGATGATATCATGCATTACCGTATAAAGTACCCAAAACTGTTGGAATTATGGTATACCGCTTATCCTGGGTGATGCAGGATTTATGTCATCAGCCATACTTTTAGCCGAAGGAGTAGGTAGTATCGGGAGCAGCAGTGGAAGTAGAAGTGGTGGTAGTCGTCGTCGTAGCAGTAAAACCGTCACTACTATTACACAAAGCAGTTCAACTCACCGATGTAGCAGGTCAAACATGACGGTGAGCTTGCACACGTCCGTCACCCTAGTGCCTAAACCGTAAACCCTAAACCTTGGGCAGCCCAGCCAGACATGATCAAACCCTCAGCTATTTAAGATTTTTCAGGCGATAGCAGCAACAACCGGACCCAGGTGCTTTTTGGGTCCTGATCCCTAAAACCTCTAAAATCTTAAACCCCTATAAAAAAAGGCTTAAGGTTGAGGGTTTAGGGTTTAGGGTTTAGGGTTCTAACACCTCCACCGGGGTGCTTTCTGGACTTCCTGCCTGTGCCCGAGTGGTCACCGGCTCGACGCGACTGGGCTGGTGGATGGCTCGCCTTGGGGTTTCGGCTTGGGTTTAAAGATTTAGGGATTTAGGGTTCAGAGAATAGTGATTCGGGGCTTTAGGGGTTAAGGGCTTTACTGAGTAGGCTTTAGGATATTAGGGTTTGGGGTTCTCGGTTTAAGGTTGTGGTTTGAGGGATGCTTTACAATTATAGAATCATGGGACGTTGTCGTAAGGCTTCTAAAGAAGGGAACTGTACTTGTCATTATTTATAACCTATAACCCCCCAATTCAAGTTCTTAGTTACCTACAAAGTCCGCTGAACCCGACATGCACTCTAAAATACGCTTAGAGTACCCTCACAGACCCCGTGTAGTCCCTTTTTAAAAACCTAAGAAAGCCCTTATATTACGTCCCATGATCCTCCACGCAGCGCCTTAGGAGCCGAAAACTTACCGTTTTGAGAGTTGTAGCCTCAATTTGGGGACTAAGTCTCTAAACCCTGAACCCTAAATCCTAAACCGTAAACCCTAAATCCTAAACCCTAAACCCCAAATCCTAAACCCTAAACCCCTACTACCGACAAGAACCTGGAAGCCTCAACGACAGAAAAAAAACATGAGCTCACAGCTGCTGCTGAATTTTCTCTGATGCGGCCTACAGCGCAAGTAGACAAATAAACATTAGGGTTTAGGGTTTAGGGTTTAGGGCTTAGGGTTTGAAAGTTGGAAATTCCATTAACCCTAAGGGTCCATGTGCCCAAAAGGGTTCCTTTAAAGGGTTCCTTTTGAGGGATTCTATAAGGGTACTATAAGACTATGTGAGTTTTGGGTTTAAGGGTCCATGTGCCCAGATAGTATATACTTTGGCCTTAATGTAGTCCCTAGATAGGTACTTTAGGGCCCAAGTCTATACTATTTG